ATCCCACGCCTCGTATTTGATGCCCGCCGGGGTCTCCTCCTGCCTCCTAGTGGGTTTCTACAGCACAGCATCCACTGTCCAGGTAAGCAACCTCTCCTGAAAACACTCAAGCCCTGCTTTTTCTGGATGTTGAATCAGGGATTTAATAACCAGGTAGGACTTACTGGGTTAAAAGTAACAGAAACCCAGTTAAGCCACCTCAGGGAAACTGAAAAATACCTCATGAAATCGAAGAAAACATTGAGCAGCAAATAGCTGGGCAGAGCAGACTCAGGATCTGGGCTCATTGGAGAACCCTGGAAAGTCCTTCCCCTTTCCCTCTCTCTCTCTCTTTCTCCCTCCCTCAGCCCCCTTTATCCCCTCCATGCAGGTCATCCCCAGGACATACACCTGCACTCACTCCTTCCAGCCCACAGACTCCACTGCCATTCCTAGGGCATGCCAAGCATACTCCCACCTCAGGGCCTTTGCACCTGCTATGCCCTCTGCCTAGGACCTTCTTCCTTGGATCTCTGCCATGGTTAACTACCTCCCTTCTTCAAGTCTTGGCCCAGATGTCACCTCAGTGTCTCCTTCCTTAACCAACAGATTAAAAATTGCCACCCACCCCCACCATAGCATGCTCTAGATCCTTCCCTGCTTGCCTGCTTTTTTCCTTTAACCATGGTTCACACATGCGCACACACACACACACACACACACACGAATGAATTAATCATAATCCTTACATCATAACCCACCCTCATCAGCTTTTAATGATCCATTTAACAATGTAACAAACACCCAGGAAACCACTACCCTAAACAAAACTAAAATCTTGATAATAACCTACATCTGACCATACATTCCCTCCATCCCAGCATCACATCTGCCCCACCATAATCCTCACCTGTATTTATTCTTCTCCTGTTTCCTTTTTATAATTTATTATTGTGTTACATGTGTGCAATTCGGGTTGCTTTTAGCTTTATAAAAAGGAAACCACGTGTCTGTGATGGGACATTTTCCATGGGCTATTCTGTGTCAGATCCATCCGTACTGTGATGTGTGGCCGTAGTCCCTTCATTTTGATGGCTATGTAATACTTCATTGTGAGAATTTGCTCATCTGCTCTCCCATACCTGGGCATGTGGAGGTTTCTCCATTGTTGGCCACTGTGAAGAGAGGCCTTATGAATATTCTGCCACGTGACTCGTGTTACAGACGGGCAAGAATTTCTCCAGGGTGTGTACTGTGGGGGAGAATACTGGGTCACGACCATGGTATGCACGTGCTCAGCTTTAAAAGATAAAACCAGACTGCTTCCCAGCGTGGTTGCATCCCCACCAGCAACATGAAGAGGGCTTAGTTTCTCCCCGGGCACATTTACACTTTATGATCTACCATGTACTTCCCTTGTGTTTTCGTTTACTATCTATCTCCACCCCCAGCCCCGTGTCAGCAGGGCAGGGATTTTTGTCTCTTTGTTCACCATTCTATTCCCAGTGCCTAGAACGGTGTCTGGCACATAGTAGCTGCTCAATAAAAAGTTTCTGATTGAATGACCGAATGGATGGTCCAACATAAGACCTGAGGGCTCATATTAGGTGTCATTGGATTATTATTATTCATTTCCTGCAGATACACTGATTCATCTCTCAACTTCAATCCCCCCAGTCCAGGGAAAGGACCATTGGCCAAAACTACTGAGGCCTAGACCCCCCAGGCCACCTAAAACATCAGAGTTTCCGAGGATGGAGCTTCGCTTTCTGTAACCCTCCATGGCCCTTCAGATAAAAATCCCCCAACCATGCCGGGACTTACAAGGCCCCACACAGTGACCCTGCCACTTCATCTTACCCCCCCTGCTCACCCCTGTTGCTCTAAAAAACACAATGCAACCCAGCCACACCCCTGAGACTTTGCCCCTTCGCATCCCCTCCACTCCCCCTCCCACCCCCCTTAACCCCATTAAGACTGAATCCTTCAGGGAGTAGCTAAAATGCCATGTCCTCTGAGAAGCCCTCCCTGGCTCCTGAGACCCGGGAGGACCCCTGTTAGAGAGCCTCATGATACAAGGCTCTTGTAAACTCTTAGGATCACACTTGGCATGATACTTCGATTCCTATCTCACCCTCGCCCTAGACTCTGAGACGCAAGAGAGCAGGGACCTATTCTGTTCTGGTTATGGCTGTGCCTCAGTACGTAGCCCAGGGCCTGGCACAGAGGCAGGGGCAAATATTTTTGGATCGATGGATGGAAGGATAGGTGGATAGAGGATAGAAAGAAGGAAGGAAGGGAGGGAGGGAACGAGGGGAGAATACTTAAATGGATGGCTGTATAAATGACGGAGGGGTAGAGCGGTGGGTGAATGAATGGTGCCCATGGACGGCCTGGCTGATGCTCTCAAGAGCACCAATGATGCTAAGCAAAAAGACAAACTACAAGTGCCTTTCCGTGATGCTCCAGAGTCATCATCTGGTTCCTAATTGTGATGGTGAGGCGTGGTTACGTAGGAGAATTTGAAGTCCTTGTGATACAGAACGAGGACATCGCTATGAGCCTCACATGCAGGTTAACTAAGTGTGATCAGCCTGAAATGTGATGTGTGACTCAAAGATCCAGAAAAGGGGCAGCATCGTCTCCTCCAGGTCATCGGTTGGATTTCATTGTGCTGACAATCTCAGCTAGTATCGTAAGCACGAGGAAGCAAGACGAAAACACACAGAAGAGAAAATCCAGGGATTCTTTTTCTAGGGATGTAATGCATACACAGAGATATTTTTCTTTTTTACAAAGAGTTTGTGATTGATTGATTTTGTTCTGTTGGCTTCTCCACTGGTGTCTGAGCCATCTCGCCAGTGGATGGTGGGCTCCTTAAAGGCCAAATTCCTTTCCCCTCCTTGAAATCCCTTTCTCCCATGGTTCCCTGGGATCCAGGCTTTTGCACTTTCAGATTTTCCACAGCCCAGTGGAGAGGGGCCACTGCACCAGATCCTCAGCTGGACGCCATTCATTAGTCGCTCAACAAACATAGAGGCAGCATGGTGCTGTGGGAGTTGCAAAAGGGTTTGGGATTCAAACCCGAACTCTGCTACTTACTCCCTGTGGGAACGTGGGCAAATCACTTACCCTCTTTGAGCCTTGGAAGGTTCTTTTTCCCCATCTGTAAAATGAGGACAATATTCCCCCACCTTATGTGGCAATTATGAAGAGTAGTGTTATGTAAGTGCCTGGCACATAACAGGTACTCAAGAAATGATAACCACATCACACAAGACAAATAAGACACAGTCCCTCATCTCATGGATGCTTCACTCTAGCAGGGACAGCGCTGAAGTGGCCAATTGTGATGCAGGCTGTCACATCAAGGTATGGGCAGAGGAACAGAGAGGAAGAGGGGAATGAGTTCATGGAAAGCTTCCTGGAAGAAGTGGCATTCAGTCAGACCTTAAATAGCATTATACAGTCCAGAGTCATGGGTTCTTCTTTCTAACTGCTAAATTTCCGTGTGACCTTGAATCAGTCATTTCCCCACCCTGGGGTCCCCAGATCCCCTTCTGTAACATAAGGTTCATAAGCATTAGCTCTGAATCTTTTTGAGTCACAGGCTCTTTTGAGAACAATCTCTGAAAGCCAGAGCCCTTCTTCTCGGAAAAATGCACACACATAAGTTTGTCTGTCATGGGGGAAGGGGCCCTCATCGACCCTGTAAAGTCACCCTAGACTGAATCCCAGAGTTCAGTTGGATCGGTACCACTCCAGAGCTGGCCCCGTCCTCACACAGAGCCTCTTTCTTTAGTCTGTGGTCAGCACGAGCCAGTAGAATCACTGACTCAATCTGAGAAAGCCCATCAGGCACTGGGCTGCAGGACAGAACAGGGGCCTGGGGAGGGGAGGTCACTCCAGCTGGCTGGGGAACCGGAGTCTGGTTCTGGGAAAGCGCCCCTGACCAGTCCTCCCCTGACCTCACCTAGTTTATCAGCATCTGCCCTGGGGAGGAAGAGGGAGCGTGGGCTGCTCTGGGCAGGCTCCCAAACAGGCCGCTGACCCCCATCTGTCGCCCGGGCTGGAGTTCCCGGACGCATCCTTCATCTTTCCTAATCTAAACACCCGCAGGCCTCGGGTGGTCCATCCCCCTCCCAGTTAATGTGTGTGCTCAGCTGCATCCAGCCTGTCAGAGGAAGGAGAGCTGGCCGTCCCCTTTAACACTGGAGCTGCTGCCATCACCTGCCTCCCTTTCCATCCAGCCAACCCTCACCCAGCATTTATTAAGCCACCTACTGTTTGCAGGCATCTGTGAATGAGATGGTGGAGGGTCTCACCTTACCTTCCTCCAAAGTCTCTGTCTCCTGGCCTAGCGCCCCTAAACTCCCCTCCGGGGCAAGATGCTGTTGCTATCCGGCTCACCTGGAGCAGGTGGGTGCTTTGGGGAAGTAGGCTCTGAGCTGGCTAATTTCGGGACTGGGAGGAGAATGAGCTCTGGGTTGGTGGCTGGGCATCTGCTGTGTGATCCTGGCAGTTTCTTACCCTCTCTGGGCCTCAGTCTTCCCATGTTTCATGATTCCATTTGGCTCTGAAATGGGCCTTGCTAGTGCCTCCTCCCTCCCCTCTCCCAGAAGAGTGGAAGGAGAAGAGAAAGCTACGCTGGAGTGCTCTAAGATCTTCCTTTGGGCAGTCCCTGGATCATAGTCATTCATTCAAGCATTTATTGAGCACCTATTCGGTTCCAGGCCCTGGGACTGGGCAGCTGGAATGTGAAGACGACGAGGATTCAAGCAGGAGACCCATAGACACCTCACTCCAAGCCTGGCTTCCCGCATGGGGTGAGGAGCCCTCCCAGGGTCCCAGATGGGCCTAGCCGAGGATTTGGGGCGCCCCGGGGACTCGCGTGTCAGCGCCGGCGGCGCTTCGGGGCCCGGTCTGTCTCCTCCCCTTCCTCCTTCTCCGCCCCCTCCACCGCCCCTCCCCGGAGCGCCGCCGCGGCCGCCTCCCACCCGCGGGATCCCGGCGTCCAGAGCCGGCGCGTGCGTCCGTCGGTCGGCGGGGCAGTCTGTCCGCGCGCGGAAAGCCCAGCGCCCCGGCGTGCGGCGGCCGCCGGGCCTGGGAGGGAAAGGGCGCGGAGGCGGGACCGCGGCTCCCTCCCACTCCGGGGGGAGCCCAGGAGGCGGCGGTGCTGAAGCGCCAGCGGAGAAGGAGGCAGCACAGCGGAGAAGGCGGTGAGAGCTCGGGGTGCTTAGGGACCCCACCCCCGGCTCCTGCAGGGGACCGGCGCGCGCTGGGGGAGGTCTGGGCTGGGGAAGAGGGGGGGCTGGCACCCCCAGGACGGGAGGCAGCGATGATCCAGCTCCCGGCTGCGCCTCCTCGGTGACGCGACCCCCGAGGGGCCCTGGGCCGCGCCTGCAGCGCCGCGCGTCCTCGCGCATCCCCGCGCATCCCCGCGCATCCCCGCGCACCCTGCATCCCGGCCCGGGCGCGGGCCCCGGGGGAGGGGAGCGCTCGGGGAGCTGAGGAGGGGGCTCCGCAGGCGAGGAGCCTCGGAAACTCGCGCCCCCGGCCCCAGCCCTCCCTTCAGGCCTGCCCCGAGGGAACGCGGGCGGCGACCCCCTTAAGCCCCCCTTGCCGGCCCCCCCATCGGTTCCCCATTGTTCTCAGCCGATCGCTCTCCCGGGAAGGGGGAGGGGGTGCTGCGCTCTCCTCTTAAAGGGCCCTCTCCCCTTGTCTCCCGGCAGGTCGCGAGCACGAGTGGGGTGGGGCGTGCCCACGGGCCCCCGCCCCCCTCGTCCCCCCCGCCCAGCTCCGGAGCCGCAGCCGGGCCGGCGGGCCAGGGGTACGCGGCGCACCCTCCCCGGTGCGTTCTTCAGCCACCCAGGCCTACCAGGACGCCGTGTGGAGCAGGAACCGGGGGGAACTGGGACGCCCCCTTCAGCAGGAGCCGTCGGAGGGGCGGACCCGAGACCAGGCGAGGAGCCCCACTGGAGCCAGGCGCAGGGTCTGGGACGCAGTTGGAAGCGCAGAGGGCCGACCGGGCGCCGCAGAGCCAGCAGCAGGCTGGCCCGGCCCTCCTGGGTGACAGGCCCTGCGTGGCCGGCTGGGAAGAAGTGACTGGAGACCAGCAGAGAAGAGACTGGACCTAGAGTAGGGGCGGCTGCCTCACTCCCTTTCTGAGCCGAGGGAGCCAAGGAATTTAGAGCAGCGTTTCCCCATCACAAAAAAGACACTTGCTTTCCAGAGCAGCGCCTTTATCTGAGACAGCGCTGGGGGAAGGGGTCCTTGGAGCCTGGAGCTGCACCTCACACTCCTTTCACTGAGGCCTCGGGGCCTCAGAAAGGACCCCGAGTTAGAAAGGAGGCCGGTTGGCTCTTGCTGCCCCCCTCCCTGGGGAGAGAGGAAGTTCCCTGCCTGCCCCCAGGCCCAGGAGGAGCTGGGCCGGTCCTAGTGGGGTCCTGGCCCCTGAGGCTGCAGCAGCGGCCATGTCAAGGCCAGGCCAGGGTGTGATGATGCCCGGGAGCGGGCTGGGCTTCCCACCGCAGAATGTGGCCCGGGTGGTGGTGTGGGAGTGGCTAAATGAGCACAGCCGCTGGCGGCCTTACACGGCCACCGTGTGCCACCACATCGAGAATGTGCTCAAGGAGGACGCCCGCGGTTCCGTGGTCCTGGGGCAGGTGGATGCCCAGCTGGTGCCCTACGTCATCGACCTGCAGTCCATGCACCAGTTTCGCCAGGATACAGGTGAGCAGACTCGCCCCCACTCCACTCCCCCCAGCACCCCCACCTGTCCGGCCAGGCTGAGGCTGAGACTACACCACCATCACCACCCTTCAGGGTGGAATTCTGGAATCCCCACAGCATCCCTCAGGAGGGGAGAACTGCAGGAAGGCTGGTCTGTTGATCCAAAAAAGGGACAGCCTAGCCTAGTCCAGCTGAAGACTTGGGTTCCAGTCCGGCTTCTTGTATTAGTTGTAGCGCCTTGGGCGAGTCATATCACCTCTCTTGGCCTCAGCTTCCTCATCTGTAAAATCTGTGGATCAATGTCTCCCATAGCTGTGTGAGGATTAAATAAAATCGTGCTCACCGAGCTCAGGATCTAGAAAAGCATTAGCACCCAGGAAGAGGGCTTTCCATGTACTTCCTCATTTGATTCTTTTCTAACAGTCACAGGCACTAAGTCTTATTATCATATAATTATTATTATTATTATTATCAGTCCCATTTTACAGATAAAGAAACTGAGTCTCACAGAAACTGAGTGATTTCAACTCAGAGCTGGGATTTAAGCCCAGGCAATTGAATTCCAGAGCCAATGCTCTTGACAGGTTTCCTGCACTGGCTCCAGGTGTTGGTGCCGGGACGGTGTGATGGGGGGAGGGATAGTGGTGGCGGTGACGGTGGGCGTGGGGTGGCAGTGGTAGTGTTGACTGTGGAATTGCCGGTGTTGGCTTTGATGGTTGCGTTGGTGGTTGGCTTGGGAGGGGAGATTGTGATGGGGCAGTAATGGTGGAGAGAATGAGGTTGGTGGCTGTGTGATAGGTGAGGATGGTGATAAAGATGGTGAGGTCCACGTTCAGCATTCGTGTTCTGGAAACGTGCCATCGCTGTGGAGATCTCTCTGCGTCATTGTTGCTTGGTGGTCTCTGACAAGCTTGGTGGGCAGTGGGGGATGGTGAGTGCCTGCCTCAGGGAAGCTGCCAAAGAATCCTTGGCATGTTCGACCCCAAGGACCAGTGATGGAAGTTTGCGAATCCTTGGTTGACAGAATGCACGTAACAGCCTTGGAGATAGTAGGACGCGTCCCTGCTCTCTAGAGCCGTTCAATACGGGCGCTACCAACCACATGTGGCTATTTAAATTCATGTCGAATAAAATTAAATAAACTTTAAAATTCAGCCCCTCAGTCCCACTAGCCCCATTTCAAGTGCTCAATGGCCACATGTGTCTCATGGCTACCATATTGGACAGCATAGATCCAGAACATTACCATTTTCACAGAAAGTTCTAGGGGACAGCTATGCTCTAGAACATTGCTTGGTGCCTACAGAGTGGTCACCAAGTGTGGAAACACAGATGAATTCATAATACATGGTTTTAGTCCATCTGTTTTCATAACTCCAGGCATTGACTGCAGTCACTGGTGGTGCCAGGCATCCATTCATACTATCATACAATCACTTATTGATCTCACGGTGTGTCAGACCCTGTGCTAAGCACTAGAAAAAAAATGCATGGAGCAAGACAGACAGAGTCCTGAGTAGAGGTTCACTGGAGGACCTACACTGGAGGTCCCAGAGAGCAAGCAAACACATAATTCACAGATAATCAGTTGCAGGTCTGAGAACATGAAATAAATCTGGGGTCGGGGTGGTGATGGAAATCTGAAGAACGAGTGAAGGGAGCAGTGTTCCAGGCAGCAAGAACAGCCAGTGCAAAGGCCCTGTGGCAGGAAGGAGCAGAGTACGTTCAAGTCGACTGTGTGTAGAGTGCGGTGAACGAGAAGGTGGTGCAAGACGATGTTGGAGCAGGGCATGGAGAGCCATGAAAAGGGCTTTGAATTTTCTCCAGACAGTAGAGAACATCACCATTGAGCCCTCCTGCCCATTCTTCCAGAGAGGTGCTGAGTCCCTGATAGAGAAGTGAGAAATGCTAGGCATCCCCTGCCCCATCCATCTGGTTTATCCCCAAACCCTTCTCTGGTGCAGGGCAGAGGTTGGACATCAGGAGGAGGAGGGTTTTCTCTTTGGCTTGGTGTTCGGCTTTCTGTAGTTTCAGAGCTCTCACTGGGTGTGGAAATTTTCCAGGGTCCGGCTTGGAGGGTGGCCCTTAGAGGCAGGGATAGCCCCCCACCCACCCCAAGGCTGCCAAGATAACCACTCGGTCTTTGATCCCTCTTTTGGGTCCCTTTTCTATCCCCAGCACCCCTACTTGGGCTCCTAGCTCCCCAAACTGCCTCCACTCCCCGCTTTGGCAGTCCCCTTATTCTCAACGGCATCCCTTTTATGGTTCAGCCTCGCTGAATCCCCCAGAAGTTCAGCTTCAGTTACTTCCCTGCACTTCCTCCCCAGAGCTGTTCACCCACACCTGCCCCCTGTTTGCCGGAAAAGGGAAAAAAAAAAAAAAAAAACACTTATCCCTCAACAGGCTCCTGGGAGGCTGCCAAGACCCCCCAGTGAGGGAGGAAGGCCTGGAAACCTATGGGGTGGAGGGTGGGGCACCTTGGTTGTGGAAAACTGTTGGAGGGAGGGACTAGATGCCTCCGCACCAGACACGTTATCATGTGCCCCCTGCTTTTCCCAGAAGTAAGACAATGTCAAGAAAGGACATATTGTTCTCACGGGTAATGGTCAAGGAGAGAGCCTCAAGCAGGTGACCTTAGCTCTCCATGCCTCAGTTTCCACATTTATGGAATAAGCAAGAGTATTGCCTTGCTAGCAGGTTGTTGGGTAATGGAGAAAACCAAGCTTGTTATTTTATCCTACAAACGTTGACTGATCACCCACCATGTGCCTAGCATGTGCTAAACACTACGGATGCACAAGAAATGGGTAGGAAATGCTCAGTCTTGAAAAGACTATTATTCTCTGTCTTTCTCTCTCTCTCTCTCTGTCACACACACACACACAAAACAATATAAAGTTAGAAAACCCAAAGCTCTCATATATGTACTGAAATGAACACAGTGTCTATCTAGATTTTCTAATTATAGGGACGCCTGGGTGGCTCAGTTGTTAAGCGTGTGCCTTCAGCTCAGGTCATGATCCCGGGGTCCTGGGATCGAGTCCCGCATCGGGCTCCCTGCTCAGCTGGGAGCCTGCTTCTCCCTCTACCTGCTGCTCTCCCTGCTTGTGTGCTCTCGCTCTCTCTCTCTTGCTCACTCTCTCAAATAAAAAAAAAATCTAGATTTTCTAATTATAAAATTCTTGATAAGTTCACTGAAGCTGAACCTGAACTTGGTTTGGGAGAAAGTAGCAGTGAGCCCTAGCTTTGCTGGTGCCATAATGCTGGGAGCCGACAGACTTTCTGATAAGGTCAGATAGTAAATAAGAGAGTAAATATCTTAGCCTTTGTGGGCCATACTGTCTCCGTTGTAAGTGCTCATCTCTCCCATTGTAGTATAAAAGCAGCCATAGATGGGAAGCAAATGAACAAATGTGGCCATGTTCTAATAAAACCCATTGTAGACACTAAAGTTTGAATTTGTAAAATTTTCACAAGTCATGAAATAGTCTTTGTTTTCCAACTATTTAAAAATGTAAAAACCACTCTTAGATCATAAGCTGTGCAAAAGCAGGCCATGGGTAGATTTAGCCCACAGGCTACAGTTCCCCAACCCCTGCTCTCTCATGTTCTTAACCTGCCCCTGGGGTAAGAGAGCCGAGGCCCACCGGGCATAGCATATACTGAACTATACACCTCATGGTGGGTACCACGGTGCACACATGTGTGCGTCCACACACGCAACACCAACCCGCTTGGATGCCACTGACACACAAATACCCTATCTATGTGTCTTTTGTGCAACTAGCGGAAGGAAACCCAGGTGTCAGGCTCGGACCACAGGAGAGAGGCCAGGCCCGGTCCCATGGGGGCTTCTGTTTGTTCAGCTGCTGCCTGCTCACCTCTTCCCTGCTGGGCTGTTTTCATCACTCCCCACGGGAGGTGAGGTTCCCTTTGAAGCTCTTCAGGTCCAGAGCCCACGTGCGGGGGAAGGCTGTGACCCTGGGCCACGTGATGTTAGATCCCTCACAGTGGTGTCCTAGGCACAGGGCTGGAAGGGAGAGCCAGGGATAGGCGAGGGATAAGGCAGGTGCCCCTTCACAGGCGTGTGCTCTGTGATATCATGATCTTCTTCTTGCTGGTTCCCCAAAGCTTCCCTCATCTTCCTTGGTCTTGAGCTGCCCCTACCATGGGCAAATCAAGATTTCACAAATGGGAAACCCAGGTCAATAGGTTTGCCCAGGTGGGTGCAGCAACTGGTGGCAGAGGTGGACCCAAGGGTCATGGCGGTCTTGGGGGGAGGGGCTGGCTCCCACTAGCGGTGGGGAAGTAATGTGGGAGCCGCTTTCTGCCTCCCTTGCAAGGCCACAACTTCCCTGAAGGTAATTGTCCCCTACCCTGCCATTGGGGTGGCGGCTTCTGAGGGCCTCACCCAGACCCCAGATTTTCCACCTGGTCCCCACAGCTGGACAGCGATGTGACTTAGCCACTTCCCAGGCAACTCCCAGATTCCTCCCTGGACTCACATGGCTGGGACGAGACGGGCCCCCCTTCTGACTGATGGTGTCTCCCATTCTCTTCTCCCTCTGCAGCTAGGGGCACTGATGGCAGCCTTCTGCCCATTCTGTAGATGGGACGGCTGAGGCTGGGAGAGGCCAGGCTGGAGACCATCCACAGCTGCTGTCCCCAAGGCTCAAAGCATGGCTGCACCAGCACTCGCAAACCATGGGGCTGGAGAGACAGGGGGTGGCTGTTTTCAGTTGCCCGAGCCTACATCATTCATTCTGCAGGGAGCTTGGGCTCCACTCAGCCCTGGTCACTGCCCTTATGGGAATGTCCAGTCTGGGGACCTGCTTAGGCTGTTGGAAACCAGAGGGGGCCCCCCAGAGAGAGGCCATAACCAGGGAAAGCACCGCCAGAATTTAGACTCCTAGGCAGGCCATTGTTACAGATGGAGAGACTGAGGCCCAGAGAGAGTGAGTGACTTGCCCAAAGTCACACAGCCATTCAGCCCCAAGCTG